TTAAATATCCAGGCTTGGCTTTTTGTTGGTGGGGTTTTTTGGGGTTTGTTGTTGGCTTGTTTTTTGGGATTTTTGTAGGGTTTTTTGGTTGCTTTTTTTTTTTTTCCTTAACTAAGAATAAGAATCTTCGCACTGTCACTGCAGAGAATACAAAAACCAATTTCTGTTAGAAGGTGGCCTTGTGAATATGCATGCAATGTACAATGTCAGATAAGGTCCTCAGGACAAGTAAAGAACTGAAATACATACTGAGAGAAAATTAAATAGCTAAGAAACATTTTTTCCTTCATGAATTACAACTGAAGTATCAGTGTATCCACTAGCTTGTATCAAATGAATTCTTAACATTTGCCTCCCAGTTGTCATGTGTGAGCTGCTTACTAGAAACTTTGTAATGCTATCATATTTCCAATAAATAAAAGTGACATTGTTTTGTAGAAAACAAGGATGAGCAGAAAGCAGAAAAAGATTTCACCATCACACACAGATGGGATTTTGCATATGTGTGTGTATTTTTTGTTTCAGTTTGTTTTTGTTAAAACAAGGAGAGAATACAGTGCAGAAGCTGACAAGAGGGAGAAATGCTGACTAAAACAAACTGCTCAAACTGAACTGACTTCATTGCCAGGAGTCAAAGAAGAGATGAACAAATAGAACAACAAATGGTGCCAAAAGTGTGCTCTGTGTAGAAGAAGAAAATCCAGTTCTGTTCTCAGTTCTCCTCTGCAAATCCACAGAAATGCCAGGCATGTGATAGTATCTGTTCTGGACATACAACAGTGTAATGTGGGCATTTGTGGTTCATACTCCTTGGTACACGGCACTTCTGAAGTGTGTATTCAGAATATGTTATTTTTAATTCCTTTCCATAAAAAAAAAAAAGCCAGATCATAAAGAGTGGCTACTTTCCACACAACTTGGAAAAGTAGCTCACTTCTCACAGAAGATAACCCATTCTACAGAAGAATAAAAGCAAACTTGTCAGATTATTCAATGATTTAATGCTAAACATATTAACTTTCTTTTTCTTGAGAAACCAAACTTTTTCTATTTTTAACTGATGACCATGCACAAATGTATTTCCATAATTCATATGTTTCAGTAACAACATATGTATGGGAAGCTGAAAAAAATAAACTGCTTGTAGGGCTCATAATTCAAATGTGAAAGTAATATAAGACAAATACTTGTGTATTTGTCTTCTAGATCATGTGCCTCAGAGATGTTATAAACACAAACATCTTTTGAGTTAGACCTAATAAAAAATTTAGATTTTCATTATGAAGCCTACACATGACAAACAGCAATATACTGCTACTGGCAATGAGAAGGCAGGTGAAACCTATGCAATACAATCTTCCCCTCAAAACAGACATTATGTATGCAGCAACACTTGATGCCTTCCCCACCTTCACCTTCCAAATTCCCTCATCTAGATTACTCTGCAGCCCTAGCAACCTGTTTATAATCAGCTGGCTGTCCACCACCATTATCTGTACCACGTTCTGCCCTCATATATGACCTTTAACTCCAATCATGGAAAATACCTTGCTCACCAACCCAAAAGTGTCACTTGCTATAATTAGCATTCTGGGAGCTAACTATACAGTCATTAAGGCACTGAGAAAGACACATGTCCTGTCTTAATTCAGTGTATATCAAGTGATCAGTCAGATGACCATTAATGCAGTGAAGTCTTTATTCAGACAGCCAACTTGCCTGGCTCAAGCTATGACCTGTCTGCACAGATTATCTTTTGAGAGATGGATAATGATGCTCTTTCATGTTACCTTGCTATGAAATGTGGGGCTTCCAATCTCCCTTCCTATTCCCATGATCATCTGCAATAATAAAAACCTAACTTTGAATAGAAGAACAATCTGAATACCAGGTTGTCATTCAGCAGTAACAACTTTTGCTGAGCACACACAACTCCACAATAAAGGACACCGCCTACTGGAATTTCCCTTCTCACTGAGAACATGGAACAGAATGAGAATCTTTCCCCTCCATTCCCAAATCTCAATATGGTAATCTATTATGTCTTATCACCATTATCTTGCTCCAATTTGGATGGTCAGTTAAATGATTTAATACACCAAAGAAATATTGCTAATGCAACCTCATTTAGTGCTACTGTATAACAGAAATTAGAGCATGGTGCTAGAGTGATATAAATAAACAGTTAACACCATCAAATTTTATTAATATAAATCATCCTTTATCAAACCAAAGCTACCAGGCTGCTGCCTAATTCCCAATTTCTATTAGATGTACTAAAATTCATTATGCATTCATATATAGTGTCAAAAGAAAACTCCTAATAACAGAATTTATTTTCAGGATCATTTTGTGTACATTAAATAGTCTATTTAAAATAAAAAAGAGACTCCCTCGAGTTATAACTAAGAAACACATCAAGAGTAGTTAGGAAAAAGTGTACCTCATTTGTGGAAACTAAGCTTTTAACATCTAAGCAATTTAAAGCCATAAAGACCTTGCAAGACATCTTCTGAGGACTATGATTTCTACACAGAACAGAAATTATTCAGTGGCCATATCTGTCCTTTCCCATGATACATGGCTATTGTATCTGCCTTCAACTACACAAAAAAAAGGGGATGTTTGACTTCAGATGGCAGAATATTAGGAGCATTCCAATGTATGGGATTTTGAGGTTTTCATCTGAGAACTTTTTCTTACCACTTACTTCTATATGGGCTATGGATTTAAATGGTTTTGATGGGCTGACTAGTAACTGGAATCCAGAGTCAGTATAATTTGTTTGGCAAAACACTAACATATTCCCTCAAGGGAAAATTGGAAGCAAAACACAAAAACTGGACTGTGCAATTAGCATGAATAACAAGAATCTAATTCTGAAAGCCAAAATATATTCCTTTTATTTTTTCTGAAACATAAAATCAACTTTTTTCCTTTTTTAAAATATGAATCTTGGATTGTGAGCCAGAGACAAAAGGCAATTATGCTAGGGATATTTTAACCTAGTACTAGTATGTATATTTAACTTGCTTTTAGTTGTGTTGTGTTGTGTTTCAGTTTTAGAGGAGTCTGTGACTATTCAGCCTACTGTCCAAACTATTACAGTCAATTCAAGGACAGCAACTGCAAATTAAAATGTGGAAAATCCATTACTAATTTAGCAGAGTTGAAGAAAATTCAGCTTTTTGCAACCCTGACTTCTGTGTACCTAACCAAATAAATAATCTTCTTCCCAGAACAACAGTGATGCAGAAGTGTGTCACTATGTAAAAATAAATAAGCAAACTAAGAAAATCAAAACTTTATGAGAATGTTTTCTTCACTCCCTCTGACTGCAAAAACAGTGAAATGATCTTTGTTTCTTTTATATTTAATATTACTTGCATGCTATACATTCTTGTCCTGCAATCTGTATACTAACAAATAAATATGTTTTAGAGACATGTATCAGACAGTAGCAAATACTTTCAGTAATTTTCACTGAGTTGTACTGGTTAATTTTGAAAGCACATGTATAAAAAGTTAATGAAAAAGATATTTTTTTAAGCATCATCACCATCATCATCATCATCATCAAGCAGTTATATGTAATGATGTAATGGATGTTGAAGTTATTCAGAGCCACTTCAGAACTGACAGTTTGGGAAAAGCCTGAGTAGACACTCAAGAATTCCTGAGCAGCAATTGGATTGAAAGAAAACTGGTGGGAAGAGAAGTGGTGAATATGAGGTAAAGAGAACAGACTTTGCATAAGTCAGTTAGATCTGAAACAAGAAGAAGCTTATGAAAATACAGGTACTAAAGACTGAGTCAAAATCTAGGGTACTGCCACTATGGGGAATATTCTGAAACTATAAAATGTCATTATGTCATAGTATTTTCAGAATATTCTTAAACAATTAGTCTTGCTGTAATATGAGGAAACAATATTGATACAAAGAAATTTTAACAATAAAACTACAAAAACATGTACAAAAACATGATTCCTACAGTCATTTTATAAGATCAGATATTTTTCCTTATAAGCTGAAAAGGCATGCAAGGAATAACTTAAAAATGCACAATGGTGTTTGATTTAACTGCTGACTTGAATAATTTAGCTATCACAAGTAACTCCCCTAAACCGATTCTAAAATGGACAGATATGGAAAGGAAAAACAAAATGGTCAACAAACAGCAGCAGAAATACCTTAAATTTGTTGATGATTTTTCAGCTTAAGGAAGGAGAAATCAATTCCAGGATCTAAGAGCTGTCCAAGGCATTAAATCTTTTATAGAGAATTATTCTAATTGTCTTCTTAGAGTTAACCTGTCTCATATTCCTAAGCAATCCTATCTAATCAGCAGCCCATTACTTTTTTTTCTTAAAGCCATGTCTGAGAAATTCAATTTCAAGTTGTCAACACTGACAGACATTTATTCTGCACCTACACTGAAGTCTGTGGTAAAGGGAGGTTGAAAAACTAGCTGAAATTGAAAGTCACACTCTGAAATGCACTTCTGGATTTCATTCTGATCTTTCCAACTACTCAACTGCATTTTGCACTCTATTTCTTTTTTTCAGAACAACACTCAAATCACATATCCCCCCCAAGCATTTTCCCCATCTATTTTTTCTATTTTATCCTCACTACATTTCATCTTACAAAAATAAATGAAAATTGTTTTAAATGCAGAATATTAACAATTACTCTTAAAGGCATTTTATGGTATATGTCCAGTGTTTTAAATATATGAACACACTGAAATGAAATTGTAGTGCTACAAATTAACAGTGGGGCACAGATCTCTTTGCAGAAGTCCTTCAGATTAAGAGGCAAATCACTCCTGACAAGGTCTGGCACAGAATACACCTCAACCAATGCTCAAATTATCAAGGACTAGGGAGCTCCATTCTAACAATGTTTAGATCCCCTGAATTCAAAATGTAAGAGATAAAACAGGAGTGAAAAATAGAAAGACAAACAGAATGAACTGAACATAAAAAACAATCTTACCTTTCACAAGCTCGGACAGTCCATGCAGCAATTATCCATAATGAGATACTAAAAACCAACAGTACAGTTCCTGGACATATTGTCATTAGAGTCTTCATAACAAAACGGGTATTGAAGTTTATCTTATTTAATGCTCCAATGCTTCTAGATGAGGCATCAGTGAAAAGTTTGCTATGCAAAAGCATAACTCTGGCAATAAGATAAAGTCTTAAGAACATTGGTATAGATAAAATAATATCCACATCAGCTGTTGTTGTGGATGGAGCATAAGAAAAGGCGAGCCGGGCTGTCCATGTGAATGTGTAATTCCCAGGTATGGGATGTATAGCACACACCAGTATTTCCAAGCAGATAAAGAAAATACGCTCATAAGTCATGGCTATTCTCCAGTCATCTGCTCCATTGTCCACCATGAACAACTGAAATAATAAAATATAAGGTTAACTTTAGTACATCATTAAAAAAACTGTTATAATTCCATTTTAAATTACCACAGTTTTCTATGCTGCCAAAGACCACTAAAAAAAAAAAAAAA